CTTTTTTGGACAGACATACGATATTGCGACAAAGTTCATAAAGTCTCTTTTCCATTTAATTTATTTTGACCAACCGATGAAGTTTTGGTAGAGGAGAGTCTCGAGCAATATTCTTGCCAGCGGCACAACAATGGCAATACCAACTTCCATGTGGCACAGTGGCAAGGGGCAGACTCAAGCATTATGAGTGATACTCTGCATCGTGTACGCTCGACGTAAATGAGAATCCTCATATTTTTCCTTTCCTGGTCAATAACACAAAATCTATGCATACATTTGAGAACAAAAGCATATTCGAGATCCTTCTTTGAAACCGCATGTTTGGAATAATGCCACACATTTGAATCGTTACATTTGAAAGAGGTACACATTTTCTATGTATCTATCACTTGAATCAGTGCATATCTGAGTTTTTTGAACCTCCTATGGTTATTATTGCTTTACTCACATAGCCCTTTTTTTTAATATTATTTAGGTTTATTGTCCACCGCAAAAATTCTAAAATCACTACCATGGAATTCTAAGGATATTGTTGATGCTGCAATTCCCAAAGCACCATGGAATAAGAAGGTGCTACTTTGCGATAAAAGTGATGCAGAGTATCACACATACTGTTTGCGTCCGCCCGTTGCCAGTGTGCGTCAAGGAAGTTGGTTTTGCCCTTGTTGTGCCGCTGACAAGAATATTGATCGAGATTCTCCTTCTACTAAAACATCGATTGGTCAAGAGCAAAATAAACTGAAAAGAGATTTCATATAAAGTTTTGTATTTTTTTCTAATGGATTTTGGCAGCATATAATAGACCATTAATTCATGTTGATGTTAACTTACATCTATCAATTTAACTGCGGTGTAAACGAGTTGAGCTTGGCTGTTTTGGCGAGCTCGAGCTCGAACCTGAGCCATTTTATATATATATATATATATATATATATATATATATTTTGGTTAATATTATTAGAAATTATAATAAAAAAATTTGAAATAAAAAATAACATGTAATTTTTTTTTAATTATTATTTACTTTATATTAATTATATTTATTAAAAAAAAAAAAACTCGCGAACTGGCTTGCGAACTCGCGAACATCTAAAAACAAGTTCGGGCTCGACTCCTCAGAAAAATCGAGCTCGAAAAATTCGAGTTTGAGATTTTGTCGAGCCAGCTCACGAGCGGGCTCGAGTCATTTACACCCCTAAGTCCAACTAACCATGCATCTCTCAAACAACTAGAGTGCTGATCTTGAGCCCCTCTTGCAATCTTAATAAACACATCCTCTAATGTTGTGTCTGAAAAGTGAATATAATCTACTCTTTGCATTCTCAACTGCTTCAAAAACATCTGTTATTCTTATCTCGTGTTTTGGCAACTCGAATTTTTGTGTACCTGAGATTTGGTATACCTTTGTTGCATTTGGTGAGAGTTGTTGTACCAAATTCTCTACTTCTTCCTCGTGAGTCGGTGATGTTGTCATCGTGAATACAAACGATCCTCCGTATCCAGCCTTTATAAGTCAAATATGAGAACTCCTGAAATATATAATGTGTATCGCTGACAACAACATTTTATGTTACCATTTTAGGGTTTCCAACACATTGCACGATTATGTACGCATAAATAAAAATAAAACCAAATAATTAGTATGAGGCCGCCGGTTTATGTATGGTGGTCTTATACATTCTCGTGATAATAAAACCAACTTGAGTTTACGAAGAGGTTAACTTGTGTACGATAGGTTTTAACACTAGTTTTGAAAATCCATGGACATGTACTTGCATCTGTATGTATGTAAATTCAAATTATGCCTAGTTTTCCTGTCTCGTGATTAGTATATGGCAGCCAATATTTGCAATCTCAAAATTTCTAAGGGCAAGACCAAAACAACATTATAGAGTCGAATTTTCCAGTTTCTGAAAAACCGACGCCAGCATGTCCTTTTAATTGCTAAAACTCGACACATTGATGTCGAATAATTTTGAAAAAAATATCGACACACAAATGTCGAAAAAAGTGCACATAATCGACAACAACTTATTGTCGAAATTTAGTGAAAAATTCGACACCAGTGTGTCGAAATTTTACAAAAAAAACGACAAGTACAGTTCGATATGTTTAAAACACAACTCCAACAATGGTGGTGGAATCTAACCCTAAAATCATCCACTATGTTCTAAATGGACTTGTATTCATTATTCTAACAACAAAATCATGTTTATTACATTTTGTTTCTCAAAAAAAGTTAATTCAAAAGGTAATTCCTTATTTGCTTTTCGTGATTGTGGCGGCAGCGGTTGCAGGCGGCGGGAGTTGTGGCGGCTATCGACTGCAACGGCGACGGCAGCGGCAACGACGAATCTGCAAGTGGTCATCTTTTTCCCTTCCTCCCGTTTTCCAATTGTGTTTTCTATTTTTGTTTTTCTTTTTTTTTTTTTAAATTTGATCTTGCAAGAGTAATTGATAGAATTATGTTTTATTTTATTTGTATTTTACTAAAGTCATTATAGTCTTTTTACACTTAATTTGGTATAAAATTATTTTGGTCTTGCTCTAAGTAAATTTG